AAAGACTGCTAAACATGTTCCCTTATACCTTCCTCTCAGCCTCAAAAATTCTTCCTAGTTAAAACCAAACAGGCACACTTAGCCTTCCACTCTTCCTTCTGCCCTCTGCCTCACAAGGGACAGATTTTTCAGCTAAAGAGATGTTAGCTGTGATTTGCCTTCAGACCCTGCACACTGAGCTCTCAGTCCCTAAACATCTAAACAATTTCATTTGCTCCACTACTACCACACCAACCTACTTCAGCCAAACACAGATGAGCAACCTCTGGGCTCAGAAGCAAGTTTGATGATGTTTTATGGTCTTGCAGGAAAGCAGCTTTATTTTAAAGCATTTCTTAGGAAAACAGATGGCAGGACCAGTGGAAGGAGAACATACCTTCAAAGTGTTTGCAACTGTGACAAACAAGTAAATTCTGAGGAATTCCATGGCCACAGCAGACTTTGCACTCAAGCTGTGATAACAGTAAGCTTCTATGGTGATTTAGCTGTACTTACAGGCATGATCCTAAGCTAACTGCAGCAAAAGATGTGGTCAGAAGAGATTTATATCCTCAGGCCGCAGTAAAAGTCTGCCTGCATCTCTCACTGTCACTGTGAGAGAACCTGTCCAACAGCTTCTACAGTGTACAGTAGTCTGCACTCTGTCATTCATCAGACAAATTCAGAATTAGGTCTGCCTTTACACAGGAAGCAAGCTCCTCAAAGTCTCATCAAAACTATGATTACTCACAAAGTTGTCTTTGCTCCTTGCCCTGAAGGCAAGGAAAACGCGTACATGCAGCAGCACGTAGAAAGGACAATGGCGAAACAACAACACAGCGACATGCAACAGAACAAATCAATCCTTGGTACCATAATACCTGGATTTACTTGGAAAATCTGACACTGTTTAGTCAAAGTTTTTCTGCAGATTAACACACAGGAGCCTTAAGAGCTGCAGACAATATCTGTTTATAATCCTTGTTGTCACATGTTTATGTTTGCATACACAAGTGGCTGGTTTCAGCTTTTTCCAGCCATGCTGATGCAGGAAGCGATGTAAAACAGGGAAAATGATTAAGTAGGGACAGGGAGACGTGTTCTGCTATATTCAAACAAAAGCACAATCCAGTGCACCTTTCATCTTAGCATCTCTAACATCCTGTTGGGAGCAAGAGCTCTCACTCTACTGAGGAAGTCTTTGTGTCTCATCACAAATACCACCATTTAAACAGACTAGAGCATCCTTCCTCCCTTTCCACATGAGACCCCTGCCACAAGTGGTGTTAAGAATCACAATGTTCATCCAATCTCCAGCAAGACAAATTCTTACTATTCAGCACTCTGTATGCAGGAAAATATCTCAAAAGTCTTATTTTTTTTCTCAACAGATTAACAGACTGGCTCAGGTCACCTGGTGCTACAGTACAGCTGAAATCTGCCTGATGCAGAACATCAGCTGGTTTGAAGGGCTTCAGGGTTTCCTAGGGTGGCCAAAAGAATCAACCCACAGCCCAGCCCTGCAGTGCCTCGCCCCAGAAGCCAGCAGCAGTGCCAGCAGCACACTGCAGACCCAGCAGCCCCGCCGTGTCCCCAGGTAAGGCTGCGCTTTGTCACGGGGGCTGCAGAACCAGGACCCGCGTGGCAAAACAACAACGAGCAGTAAAACGACGACAGGCTCTGTGTCTGAAAGCAGGGTAAACCAGCCAGCAGGAAGAAGATCCCTCTGAAAAAGCTTCAGATACTGCATCATGCAGAGACATTTACTCTGCTACGAATACCAGAGGAGCAACACTGAGCTGCAGCACCAGTGCTGAGCAAGCCTTTGCATCCCCACAGCTGCACCGTGCTTGCCCACACTGCAGAGACAAGGTGATCACAAGGCACGTGATGGCACAGTGACTAACCTGCTATTTCTAAGCAGAAACACATCACGTAACAGTCCAAGAGTTACATAGGAGCTTAATGGCTACAAAGACAAATCATGCTGCTATAATAAAAATAGTACAGAAAAGGGAAACTCCCTATGGGTGGTTCCCAGCCTAAGGCTGAAGGAAATCTTCGCATCTTCTCTTACAGTAACAATACAGAGGAACTACAGCTGTGGTTGTAGTTGAAGAATGCTGGTACTGCCCCTAAAAATGGTGTTATTGTTCCAGAACGAGCCATGGGCCAGGGAATCCTGGTGGAAAGGACTGTTACCTTACCCGGAAGGCAAAGCAGGACAGAAAAAGCTGAGAACAAAGATTAACCAGCTCCAAGATCCCTGTTTGACCAGACAGAAAAGCTAAGCATCACTATGTGGCTACAGAAAGGTAAAACAGCACAGTGTAAGATGGGGAAAACTGGGCTGCAACCACAAAAAGGATGGGAAGATGTTGAGGGAAGAACACATTGATTGTAGGGAAGAACAGCGAGGGTTGCACCTTTCTGAGCAGAGCTCTATGAGCCAGTGACTGGTGCCAAGTCCAACGGGACCACAGGAGCAGGGGTGTTGGAAAGTGATAATGGCACAATGTGACAGGAAGTCACAGCTTGGATGTGCAGGAGTTCTCCGGAAGGTGAGCAGGGGAGCCCCTGGCAACTGTGACATGGGGAGAAAAGGGGAGATGCAGCCTCATGGTGTGGGAAGAGGCAGGATGTCGTTTAAGAGTTCAAATACCAGATAGCATAGTGCAGCACTAGGGAGCAGGAGCCCAAATCTCACTTCTGTGACTCCAAGAAAATATTACAGGAGAAGGGAGTAAGGAAGGAAAGAGGTAAGGCAGTGTCCTGCTGAGCCTGGGCACACTGATCGGGATAGAAAAGCTCTCTGTCAGATCTGAACCTGAGCACTGTGAAGAGGATGGCCCTTTAAGCTGGGCTACTGGGCAGGGGAACTGGGGAGGCTCAGAGAGGCACTCTGGGGATGGCAACCGGCCGGGTGGTCGGGGGCAATTGCAGGAGTCCCAGAGGGCAGTCTGGGGGGCACTGGCAGATGCTGAAGGGCATTTAGGGGGCAGCTGTTAAAGAGCACCTGAGAAATAGTTCATTAGGAGGATCTCTACGGGGCATTTTGGGTTTCACAAGTCCATGGAAAGCATAGGGCATGTTTTCAAGGGGTCTCTGAGGTGTGGGCTGGGGGTCGCCGGCAGGTCCCTGAGGGGTGGCTGGGGGTATCATCGAAAACGTGGGAATAAATAAAACCCTTTACACAATCCCTTTACACTTAAATTACAACTGCTTGCCAGCAACGGGTGAGGGGGAAATGGCCGAGTCCCTGAGGGGCGGTTTGGGGGAATGTGAGGCGGTCGCTGGCTGGTCCCTGAGGGGCGGTTTGGGGGAGTAAGCGGCCGATCCCTGAGGGGCAGTTTGGGGGAATGTGAGGCGGTCGCCGGCAGGTCCCTGAGGGGTCGTTGTGGGAGGAGAGGAGCGGGGGCGTGTGGGGGATCGCCGGCAGCTCCCTGAGGGACGGGCTCAAGGGGCTCCGTGGCGGACCGCCGGGGCAGGCTTGGGGGACGTCTCTGGCGACTCCCAGAGCGGCGGCCCGGGATGGCGGCGGCGCGGACCGTGCCGGGCGGGAGGGGGAGGCGGCGGCAGCACCGAGCGAGACGCGGAGACAGCACCGGCCGCAGCGCTGCCGGGAGCCCGAGGCCCTGCCCGCGGCCCCCACCCGCCGCACGCACCTTCTGGCGGATCTGCCCGGACGTCGAGACTTTGCGGATGAGCTTCTGCGGAGAGCCGGGCTCCTGCTCCGGCTCGCTATCCGACGACTCCTCGGGCGCGGCGCTGGCGGCGGCGCCCGCCCCGGGCTGGGGCTGCGCAGCCCCGGCCCCCGCCGCCGCCATGCTGCAGGACCGGCGGCGCGGCCCGCGCCCCCCCCGCCCGCCGCGCGCACTGCACCGCCCGCCTGCTGCCACAGCGCCCCCTGCCGGCGGCGGAGAGGACGGGGAGTCCGGCCGCCCTCACGGGACGGGCTCGGCCCCCCTGCCCCTCCGCGGCCCCGCGAACCGCCCGAGCACCGCTCGCACCGGGCTCGGCCCCCCTGCCCCTCCGCGGCCCCCGCGAACCGCCCGAGCACCGCTCGTACCGGGCTCGGTCCCCCTGCCCCTCCGCGGCCCCCGCGAACCGCTCGCACCCCCGGCAGGTCCCAGCACCCCCGCGGCTCCCCGGGGCCAGCGCAGAGGTGCTCAGCGCAGCCCTCCCTGCTGGGGCGAGCCCGGCAGCTCGGACCTCCGTCCCCATTCCTGTGGCTGCTCCAGCACAGAATCACAGAACTATTCCAGGTTGGAAAAGACCTCTGAGATCACCGAGTCCAACCTGTGACCGACCCCCACCTTGTCACCCAGCCCCGAGCACTGAGTGCCACGTCCAGCCGTTCCCTGCAGGGACGGTGACTCCACCACCTCCCTGGGCAGCCCCTTCCAGAGCACCGCCCTTGTTCCCAGGATTTAATAAGGTCCTGGGGGTACACCCTCCTCCCCAGGCTCGACCTGCCGTGCCGACCCCCTGCCCAGAAGGTGCTTTGGGGGCGCTGACCCCTCGGCCCCACGTCCCGGGCCAGCGGCACCCCTCCATTCCCCACAGGCCCCGTGTTCCAGCTGGGATCTCATGGAGCGGCACGAGGGAAAGGCACATGTCACCAAACCCGTCCTGTGCCGTGTTTGATACAAGCTGTGTTCAAACACAGCAGTTCTAGAGATGCCATGGCTCCCGGAGCACATCCCTCTCCCGGAGCTTCCAGGCTCCCTACAAACAGAGTCCAGAAATTGGATCTCTCCCCCAGCTGTACAAAGGAGTAGCAGGTCTGACTCGGCAGAAGATCAACATAACACCACAACCAGAAGAAAGGGAAGATAAAAGGAAAACACTTTCAGCCAGAGACCTCTTTTCTGCTGACAGAAGTCAGCATCTGCTGGCTGAAGGGTGGAAGAACAGATGTCCAGCTTGTCCTGCAGGAGGACAGGGAGCTGCAGGAACCAGCAGAAAGCCCTCGTTGCTCTCTGAGCAAATGTCCAGTGTGAGCCAAATAGTGTCAGAAGTGCCCAAGCAAAAGAACAGATTTAATAGCCATTTCGACCCCAGCCCATTGCACAGCAGAGTGCACTGTGATTTTGTCACACTTAACTTACAGAAGTCATCATCACAGCTGAATTTGAGATAACAGTCAGGTAGTGACAGAGGTCCCTCTCAAGGTTGACATATAAGAAGAAAAAAAAATGCATCAGATCTCTGAGTTTGCTAGTCCTGTACTTACAGGTCCAGTAGCCAGGAACACTGAAGGAATCACCTGTGTGGAGGAAGCTGCAGTTTGAAGCAAAACTGGAAGACTGTTCCCCCTCCTTCTCTTAGCATCTTCAAAGGATTTTCTGAACACCAGCTCTCCGAGACCAGCATATTCACAACCAGCAATTTGTTCAACCTTACCGTATCTTCTGTATGTTCTATTTGAGCTGCCAAGAAATTAGTAATAAAAATACCAGGGAAAAGCCTCCCTAGACATCCAGGTGCAAATGCCTGACTGACCCCCAAACACAAAGCTGAAATCTCTGATGCGACCCCGAAGACAGCCATGGTCTTCATTCACCGCTTCCAGCAAGAGCAGTTTACGAAAGCAAAAGAGGAGAAGGCTTTACTTTTAACCCAAACTCTTTGTGCTGGAGGCCCCATGTAAAGCATTTGGACCACCTGTAAAAGCTGGGCTCGTAACCATTCCACTTTCTGGTGCGTAGGGCGGGAAAGAGAAGTCTGGATTAATAAATTTAGGCCCTGCATTCAGACTTTTCAGGAGAATTTAAACCAGGGACACCGAAAAGCAGATTTAAAGCAAAAATGAGAAAAAGAAAACACCAGTTGTTTTACATGCAAAATGTAATTAGCTGATGCAACTCACTTCAGCTAAAACCTAAGTGAGATTCAGGAAGGGATCAGACATTTACATGAATAATGTGAATATCCAGATCAACAAGAGAGAACAGTTTGCAGAATACAGTCTCATTTCTTAGAGCATAAACCAACCTCGGGCAGATGCATTTTGGAAAAGGCTCCTCAGGGAAGGCTGCCTCATAATTTCCTCCTTAATTTTCCTGCACTCTCTTTTGAAGCAGTGTTGCCTGCAGGAAACTCTATTAAATACAGGATCAGTCTGGACTGGCAGTTCTCTCTTTGGGGTTGCATACAGGGAGCTTTGTTAAGGGATTCCCGGACAGTGAACATTTATCTCATCTTTAACAATGTGGTTGTACAGCATATTGCTAGAAAGCAAATACTGTGTATCAGCCTTATATCTGCAGAGGGAGACAACTTGCAGGACATTTAATAGTACAGAATAGGAATGTTATCCACACGGGGACAGTCCAAGCACTGAAATCACGCACTGGATGAATGTGGTAAAGCATAAAAGCAAAAGCAACCAAAAAGAAATAAAATCAGTTTTGTACACTGTGGTCAATGAAGTTTCACTCAGGGCTGCAAGCCAGCCTTCCAGGCTGGGATTTGGGTCACTGGCACTTCCAAGTCACAGATTCTGACACTGAGGAAGTCCAGGCAGGCTGCACAAACCCTCATTTAACTCTCGCCAGTGCTGAAAGCAACCAACCTTTTTATTAGGCAGCCCTGAAAGCTGAAGTCATGACATGGCAGCCTTCCTGTCCCCCTCTGGTAGCTCGAGGAAGCACCAGGGTCTGTGTTTGCCACATTCTCCCAGAGGTGAAACTTGTAATAAGCAGTAGAGATCCATAATGTTGTGTCCACTGATCTCAGGGCTGATCCCTGCATGACCACATGTGCACTGGGAACATGCAGTTCACTACAAACTTAAGGTCCTAAATTTCTAATTGAAGTCCAACTATGCAGCTCCTCTGGCAGCTTATTCTTTTAGTCACTCCTCAGTTGAGGGCAAATTCTTGTCCTCTTCATCAGGTGTATTTTTTAGCTGTTGACGAGCAAACTCCTCGAATACCAGCTCTGCTTCACTGCAGTGGAAGAAACACAAGTGTTTGAAAATTATGTCAGCCATGTGTCATACCAGCAGACTACAGGCAACAGACAGGAGGGAGAAGAGAAGCCTGGAGCAGCCTGGTAATGTTTCCCTTGACTTCAAGGGGATTTGGATCACATCCCCACAGGCACCATCTTCACTGGGGCTGTTCTGGCTAACAGGAAGAGCAGTTGACTGAGCAAGTCAGGACACAAACCGAGGAGGTTTTCATCTGCACTGACTCATGTCCATTCCAGCTGCATATTTATCAGCTATCTGAACAGCCTGAAGCCTGAAAGGGACTTTGTCCAGGAATAAAATGTGCAGCCTTTCATCCTTATTCCTTCTGTACTAAAATAGAGGCACATGGTCAAACCTATTAAGTTCCTGAAACTTTGAGCTACAGAACATCAGGTGAGCATGAACATACCCTTCCCTCAACTGTGAGGCAAAACATGTTCTCTTAATCAAGTTTCACATGGTCAGCCCTTGCTGGTTAACTGAGAGCAGTCATTTGTCAGGCCACAGTAACTTGCTCGCTTTGGATTTTAAGCTGGGGTTTTTGGACAATTTTGAGAAGCTTTCAAAAGACTCGAAGCACAGGTGCAGCCAGAATGTGAAATACTAAAAGAAACTTACCCATCCTTCCCTGCAGTCACCCACGTGCAGCAAGGGAGAGAAAAAAGACACGCCAGGTAGTTAGAACAGCAGATGCTGAAACATCTGCAAAATGTTTAATGCAAAGATGTATAGACTGACAAGTCAAAGCAGTGACAAGCAGTAGGACTTGCAGCAGTATAAGGAGAATTCCAGAAAGTCTCAAAATGTGCCTGCATGAACCTGATGAAGCAAAACTTGATCTCCCCAATGGAAAAGCACTCCAGCAACATTGTCCAAGCCATCAGAAGGGCTGAGAAACCAAGACAGATTTTCCCATCTATGCTTGCTTGTGGTCACAGCTGGGGGAGACATCTGGGCACACACTTAGACTCTGAGCTGATGTGGTGTCAGCTTTAACTGCTTTGTCACTGTGACTGAAGGAGTCAGCTGAAGAGAAGACATGCCCTTGTTCAATAAACATGAGGGGATTAAAATCAGAGGTCAGAGTACAGAAAGGCCTTGGTGGTCTCTCATTAGATAGGTTATGCCCTTGAAGCAACACTCCTGATTTCATCTTTCCCTAAAAATAGCCCCAAGACCTTTGGCATTTGTGTTTCTTTAATGGGATCTTTGCTAACCACACTAACAAATCCTAGCAGGATTCCCTGGAAGCTGTTTCAGCACAGTCTAAAATAAGCAGAACAGGCTGTATTTGCAGGGATTTTTTTGTTCTTACAGTTACTTTATCTTTAGCAAGTCGCAGTCACTTCCCTGGCTTACTTCTCCTGGGTTTGAGTCAGGGAGCAAAGCCCACTTCGTTCTACAGAAGCCATCGGGGATCTGGGATGCTTCAGTGACTTGAAGAACTCATTACCTGGAGACACCTCATCCACAGCACACACTGAAACCAAGGGCGAGTGGTGACAAGCACTGCTGGAAAGGCCAGCGTTAAAAGTGTGCCAAAGGGGGCCGCTCCAGCCAGAGTGGCTCAGGGTGCCTCAAAGGATGGATCATGCAAAGACAGCCCTGACGGTGTCTGTGCAGACACGGATGGTTTCCTCTACTCCCAGAAGACAAGATGAAGCCTGGAAAGTCTCAGGGCATGTCTGCTTGATTGCAATGGAGTTAAAGAAAAACCTTTAGAGCTTTCTAAAATTTCCAGCGCATCATTCAGGTTTCATTTTTCCTCCAATTTTTATTTTATTTTTATTTGTTAAAGAGTCTGCTCTCTGAGGTGCACTCATTGCTATGGGAACAGTGGTGACAGTGATGTGGGTGAAGCTGAGCGAGATCCCACCAAAGTAATTCAAAACCAATTTCACAGAATGGATTGAGGGGGAAAATGGGTTTTTGTTTCACTTGGGCATATACTTTACTTTGAGATAAATGATTACTGAATCAATATATAGATAGTGTGGCAGCAGAATTATGCTTATTACATGCTCAGAAGGCTCAAGTTTACATTCAAAGATGCACTACTTCACCCTCAGGCTCCAGAGTCCTCCTGCTGGCCAATGCCTTATTTAATACTATAAAATTGAAAAATTCCAAGAAAATGGGTAGACTTTTGCTTTTTTTTTTTTTTTAATTAGCATTCCAGCAATTGTTTGGAGGGTTGGGATGGGAGGAGGATTGATGCAGCTCCAGAAGTGCCATCATGCTCTCTGCAGGGTTTTCTGTCAGCTTCCATTATGCAGCCACGGAAATGATTCCATATAATTAAAGTTGTGGCATACAGTAATTTTCATTATAAGCTTGCTTAACCTCTCTTAACTTATGGAGGAAAAAAAAGGTAGGTTCTGTTATTTTTCAAGATGTTCAAGTGCTTTAAAAATTCGCTATTTTCTGAAAGTCACAATACCAATACAGGGAAGGTATTGCTTTACTATTAGAGGGACAAAGCATTTTTGGGTTTCCTGAAACCAACCCTTTCATGCAAGTTTAACCAGAGAGCAGATAAACAACCATTTGTTGAACAACTGCCAAAACAAAGACCAGGGTCTAAGACATAGGGCCCACAAAATGTAAAACATCAGGAGATGGGCAGGAAAACCCCAGACCAAAGAACTCACGCAGAGACCACAGCCTTGAGCAAAACCCAGCAGGAGCTTCTGGGCTAACTGCTGACTGGGAAAGTCTTGGAAGCATGAAGGGACACAGCCCAGTTTGAGTCTACCTTTAAAAGAAACAGATCCCTACACATTTTTTGTCAGCAGGCAGAAAAGACAGAATTGCCAGTGTGACAGGAGCTGCTTCACCTAAAAATAACCCCCCAGGAACCACATGGGTCTAAACCCAGTCAAAACCCCAGCACATACAAAACATGCAAATCCCAGGCTCCCAGGGGTCCGAGAGAAGGAAGCTGTAAATAAACACAGGACAGGGAAGGTGGCAAGCCTCTCCTTTTCTGTCTCCTCCAGGCACAGGGAAGAAGGACCAAGCAATCTGCAATAGCCATGCACCGGGACAGACCTGCTTTTCCCTAAGGGATGAAGGCTCCAGAGCTCTCATGGACAGCTAGGGAGGGCAGAGCAATCTGCTGTGGGATAAAACACATGGCACTTGGTCCCACTCACCCCGTTTGGCCCTGGAAAAATTAAACCATGTGCTTGGGAAGCTTGTGTTTCTGAGGTTCTCTACTCTCAATCAGCTCTGTGTGATTTAAGGCATTATGTTTTACTTCTGCCATAAATCACCTTGGCGGGAGGAAAGGATATTCCCCCACTGCAGGGAATAAATCACAATATGTGGTGGTTTTTAGTCCCACTTCAGCTTTGACTCTCTAAGTCAGTTCCTTTGACTCCTTTCTTTTCTCCCACTTGTGCCTTCAGATGAAGTGATGGTCAAGTACAGCAGGGAGGTGCAATAGGCAAACTGCTTCCCACTGACTCATCAGTACAGACAAAAGGGAACAGAAGGAGAAGATGAGGAGTGATCTCCAAATTCCCTGGGCATGCACCCCTGTCTACACCCACCGCAGAGGCTGCTGAACAAGCAAACAAAATAAAATTCCATCTTTTGGGGCCTTTGAGAGTCTAAGCACTGTTTGTTGAAGCTCCATCTCTGCAATTAAGTCTTGATTAGCTTGATTCCAAATTAGATGGTGTTTTACTAATGAAACACATAGTATTTCTCAGGGTTCATGAGCTAAAGTGGTAGAATAAAAAATTAAAAAGCCTGAACTCACCACTGGGAAAAGTGATTAGGCACTGTGCATGGAAAACTACCACCAATAAAGCTGGAAAGCATTTGACCTTACCAGCTTCATCTGGGAGCCTGTTTTATTCACTGTAATAAGCTCAGAGCCCACATTCCAGCATCATTTTCATGCAGGATTCAGAGGAGTTTACTGTTGTGTTAGAGCATCTTTTTTTAAGAGAAACCATTTATTTCCCAAGTTAACCATTTCCAGGGCTTTCCCAGGGGATAGCTCCTGAAACAACCTGCCTTTTCTTTCAGTTCAGAAGGCAGCTGCAGTTTCCATGTGTGCAGAATGCAGGGACCAGAGCTGTCTCCTGACAGCAAACCCCTACGAGACTTTGATGTAGCAAACAATACGTGGGCCGTGCCCCTGGTCAGAGGATGTGCTGGGGGAAGTGGTCTGAGAAATATTACAGGTCTCCATTTCCCCTCTAAAGTCTTCTGCCCACATCCTTTCCAGTGTCCTTTTATAAAGGAGCACATCAGCCCTCCTCTGAATTGATCTTAGAAGGGAAAACTGCCCAATTTCCATTTTTCCTCATACTACAAATGCTTCTCCCAGAATTATAAAGCAATAGAAAGGGGGTTGTGGCATTGTTAACACCAAAAAAAGCCATGCAAAAAAATTCTCACCATTTTAAAAATGTAAAGTTCTTTACAGTTCCCCATGCCTTCGGATGAGGCTTGTTAGAAGTTTTCAAGCTTACCTTGGTGTCCATGAAAGCTCTGGATTTTTCACCCTGAGCTGCCCACAGGCCCTCACCAGCCACTGCTCCTGGGGCCATCAGTGCCATCCCAGCCCCTCACCATCCTCTGTCTGTGCTCAGGGGCTGTGCTGGCACAGCTCACAGCAGGGGCTTTCCCAGGGAAAATGAGTTTCCTGGAGTGCAGTTCTTAGAGGAGCAATAAAACCTACCTTTGCCCACTCTAGCACATCCATAATTAGCAAACCCCGATTCCTGGAGCAGAGAGTGGATCACCAGCACCTCTGCTCATCATCCACACTTGATTCCTCCAACAGTTTCACAGGAAGGACTCACATCACCCCTTTCTCAAGCTGCTGGTACAGAACAGAGCATCTCTTTCAGGGTAACTCTTCTCACAGGTTCTGGCACCACCTTCCTGTGGTCTCATTCTTAGAAACAGCAGCTTTAGGTACATTTGGGTCCAAAGAGAAAGAAGGAAAGTAAGAAAAGCAACACAGAAGCAGCCACAGCCACGGGGGTTTTGTTCGAAGCCCCCAGCTCTGTCCAAACACAGGAGGCAGGCCAAGATGGCTCCTCTGTAACAGCCCCAGCATAGAAAGGCTGCTGTGTTTGTGTTCAGGAGCTGCTTCAGTGCTGGACAGGAGCCTCTGATTTACTGTGAGCACCTTGTGTCTGGGGTTCACCACTGGAGAACACAGAGCCAGCCAGAGCCTGAGGAAGTGGGAGGAGAACACAGATGCTCCTGACAGCCTGTGGTTTTGGCATCTGATCCCAAGTCTCAAGATGCCTGGGGAAGGCTCACTCCTTACACTGCTCTGGAGTTCCCACACTTCCATGTACAGACCTGATGCTGAGGAGACATTCCTCTTGGAATCACTGAACCTAAGGCCACATCATAGACACCATGGCCAACACCACATCAGGATAACAGGGTCTCCGCAATCAGCAATAGTTTTATCACCTCTTAACTTTGCTTAAAAGTATTTTGATTTTTACGATGCTCATGTGTGTTAGGTATTTTCTGGTGGTTTGTTTTCTTATCCTGGAATGTGGCTGGGAATTGCTGACAGCTTCATTTGGGACACTTTACTCTGCAGTCCTGAGATTTAACTGTGCAGTGCTTCCTCAAGCCCCTGTCCTTTGAGCTGTGATTCCAGAGGTGAAAGATGAAAAGGGAACATGACTCATTTCCATTTTCTCCCATCTTATCATCCCTCCTGCCTGTTATTTTGTGCCTTGAGGTTGATATATATAGATAGATATATATACACATATACACACATAGAGCAGCTCCATACTGGAGCCTTGTGGGCTCTAAAGGCTTCCTGCAGCACAAATCCCTCTAAGCCCTACAATGGTGAGATCTCACCGAAGTCTGTAAATGAACAAAGGCAAAACTCAAGTGAACTGACCTGCTGGGCTCCTTTCCGCAGGTTTGGGGTGCATGAGACGGAACGGCAGCTCTGTGCCCACTTCACTTGGGGGAGAAGAGAGACTGCATCAGACCCACAGCTCCATTCACGGCTCAGACCCCTTCCCATCTCAGGCCAGCCCAAGCCCCCAACTCCAGCTTCACCCATTCTTTCATATTTTCCAACCGTAATTTTCCCCTTAAGGAGAGTTAAAGTCCAATTTCTCCATAAATATCCCAGGCATATCCATGTTCATCAGCTGGGTTTATTATGTGCTGAGGGTATTTGCATGGACATAAAATCAAAGGCATCTTTGTAATTGCTTCATTTTCGCAGCTGAATGCACAAACTTCTTGCTTCTGTCAGCTTAAGGGATAGTTATTTTTTTTAGGGAGGTGGGAATGGGAATAGGAAAGAGGGTAATAGATGAATTAACAACTAGGGCTGCATGGTCTGAAAAGGAAGATGATGTTTACCTGGAGGTGAGGTCTCCCAGCATGCTACAAAAGAAAACAAGGAGGAAAACAAAGAATATTTAATGCCTTTCCATTCTGGTGCTCTACTAAATGCTGTTTTATTGTAGATCACGGAAATCACTGTCCTCATATACCATTCTCTGCTTGTCAAAAAGCATAAAATCCAAGTAAACCTGTTTTTAAAAAAGTAATCTTCATTTTTCACATCATTCCCATGGAAAGTTTTTGAACTCCTGAGTAAGTGTTGGGCATGGCCCCTTTTCCAAGAGCCAAAGGGGCAATTGGAGGCCCAAAGAAGGCAGCAGGCATTTCATCAGGCTTTAGGCAAATCACTGATTCATTTTTATACTAGAAAGAAGGACAGATGAATGAAATACAAATGTAAACAGTGACTAACATCAACTGAGAGTTATTATCCTTGTCCTCTTTTGCACTATATCCTGGAACTAGCTCATGTTGATAACATTAGCTTTTCCCAGAAAGCTGGCTCAGTACAGAACCTGAGCTACAGTATTTATGACTCTCAGACAGATGTTTTCACCCTCTGGTCTGAAAGAACAATGCCAGCACAAAGGATCACACAAAGTTTCACTTCAGTTCTCACAAAACAGGTTACAGGTTCGAAACAAAATGTTGCAATGCAAACCAGAGGTTCCTGCCTGAGCCATGCACTCATAGAGTGTCTATGGATGGTAATCCAAACCCTCTGCTTCAGGTCAAATTCTGTGGACAGGCCAAGATTGATTTCCAGGCAATTTACCCTTTAGAAGGAGCCTCACATCCTACAACATGTGCCCTTTCTCTTGGGGTGGACTGTCCTGCTCCCTCCCCACCCTCACTGATGGACACACACTCCCCTCTCTGAACTCCAGGCAGGTACAGCAGAAAGGGTGTCCCACTTACCCTGGAACAGTGAGCTTCACTTTGACCTTGTAGGAAACCAGGATCCCCATCACTGTCTTGTCAATTCCATCCTTAATGCTGCCAGAGAAAACAGCAGTGTGAGGTGGCACAGCAACACGGCACAACACACACCTGGACCAACAACTAGGGGGACATCCTGAAAGTGGCAGAGCAGCCAAGCCTCAGGGACAGGCACCAGCTCTCCAGAGCTGTGAGCACATACCCTGAATGAGTAGGACAGGGAAAGAAATGCTGCTCACACGTACCCATCTGGACACACAGCTATACAAAGCCCTGACAGGAGGGTCTCCTCCATCCTCCCCTCTGCTTTATAACTCACCCACTATCCAGGACCATTTAAAACTCCACTCACATGGTACTAGAAGCCAAGTTGGTGTCCTCATCCTTTAGTTTTCCATCCAGAGCTATTTCCCGTACGTCCCGGTTATTTGCAAGCAAGGGCAGAAGTGTCAGTGTCTTGGTCAGGCTGCTGTTGGGCTGCACCTTTTCCCTGAAAATAAGAAGGGAAATGATACACTCTGACTTGTGTTACACACCCAACCAAGAGAACTGCAAACCAGAAATTACAAAGCTGTCCAAAAGGAGAGGAATTTAACCCAATTTAGTTGCCTGCACTGCAGATGTCTACATCTAATCTTGTCAGCAAAATTCCCTTCATAATCAGCAAAGAAGAACAGGCAGGAAACGCTTAATTTCACATTAAGGCAGGAAAGTAAGTTAAAACTATAGAATTGTAGTTTAGTTTAGTTTGGAAAAGACCTTTAAGACCATGGAGTCCAACTGTTAACCCAGCACTGCCATGGCCACCACCGAACCATGTCCCCAAGTCTCCCACATCCATTTTTCCTGATATCCCATCTACACCTCCCCTGGCACAACATGAGGCCATTTCATCTACGCTGCAGACCTCCGAATTTGGACAAAATGAATCCTAGCTGAGATAACCAATATTCAATGGAAAACATGTCCATAAATTACAGAGCAAAGCACCAGACAAGTATAAAGGATCTGGGTATGCCCCACCCTCCTCACGAAGGGAAGTTCAGTGCTGCACTGCCAGGGCAGTGAAAAAGAGCAAGTGGTTCTCCGTAACCTCAACAGGCTCCAGATTTTCATGGACTTTCTCAGGCTAAAAGAACCAAATGAAGTGGTGTGGAAAAGACTGGCCTCAAGCCAGAGTATCCCTGACTGCCACTCAAACAGCAGCACCTTTCAGAAAAGTGCTGCTCCTCTGTTTAAAGATTTCTAGCAGCGGGGAGTCTTCCACAGCCCCTGCTAAGCTTGTCTACTAAGCAATTACTCTTCAAACCTCTTCTGCAACCTCCCCATTCCCTGAAACAATGTGCAGGGTCCCTGCTGGCTCTCTGAGAAGGAGACCAGCTGCATCCACCATCCGGATATGGCACACATGTGAGGGAAGAGAGGAGAGAGCACTGCAACGGCAGGCTGTAATTAGGAGAAGGCCCCATTACGCATGAGGAGGGTCATTAAAAGGGTGCAAAGGAGCAGGAAGGGAGAAGCAGAGCATTCACTCACTGTGCTTCCTCAGTAGCCACCACTTTGGTATAGTAGTCACTGGAGTAGAGCACCACATTGGCAATCTGCTCCACTGAGGGAGGAAGGAGAAAGTGAACATCAGGCGTGTGTGTGCACCAAAGCAACACAGCTGCCCTGCCCCGAGTCTCAGGAATGGGAAACATGATGAGGACAGCAGGAAAACCCATCCATCTGGAGTCTGAAGGGACCACCAGGTCTGACAGCCTGACCTGGACAGAGACCAACAGCACACCAACAGCCAGGGCCTATCTCCCATGAAAGGCACCTGGCCTTGATTTGGAGACAACAGAAACTCAATAACCCACAGTTTCCCTTGGGAGCCTTCTCTTTCCATTATGAAGACCACCCTCTTCCTTCTCTAACTGTGTCTGCTTTTATCTCTGGCCCTGGTATCTCGTGTGCCTACAGCACATGCACTTGCATTCAGGAGACACCATCATCACACAGACTGCAGTCAAGGGCCTGTGAGAACAAATGGCTTATATTCTCCAACCTAACACAAGAACCCCCAAGGTAATTCTGACTGAAACATTAATGAGGAGAGAATCTGGGGACCAACAAGGTCTTTTTAAGCCTAACAGAGGCTAAAATATCAGACTAAAAATATTTGGGAATCACTAGACAGTGCATCCAAGAGGGGCACTGAAATGACTTTTTCTGCTATAGAGTTTTGTAGGAACCTCAGACATTTTGTTCCTTCCCTGCCTTCTGTTCTCTTTCTCATCCCTTGGTCTCTCAGACATCTTGCTCAGCGCCACAGCTTGTGGCATGAGAACATGCAGTGCCACAAATAAAACACAGGCACAGTGCTGAGCTCAGCCCCCGCCCTCAGCTCCTCAGGAGGAATCCCAGCAGCGCTGGCAGAGGGGCTGTTCCTCTCACTGCCGTGTTTCTGGAACACCAGGCAGAGCTGTATGGCAGCGAGGCACATTCACAGTTAGCAGGAGCATCACACTGACAGGAGCCCTTCCCACTGTCCTCCCAAAAAAGGGGTGGATTTTCCCCCACAGCACCTGCCTTGCTTGCCCACTGCAGGTGCCAGACCCTCTCTCTTTACTAGAGGGAACAATCTGGTGCCTCAAATTAAGACTTACAGGTAACCACAAGCATCAGGAAAAAAAGCTGCAGTGTTTCACTTGATGAACAGCAAAGGAACAGCAACAGACATGGTGGAGGGACAAATTCCTTACTCCCTAAACACCTTCTTAAGCTGTTGCAAGCACTAAATTCTGGCTCTCCTTCAGTCCTATTGTGCTCAAAGAATCCTAAGCTACAGTCAAAACATACCCTGGACTTTGATTTTCTTCACTGTTTTCTCTGTGTTGTTGTTGACGGTGACAGTGACTGGAATGGGCTCGCCATGGTAGTACACCTAGAAGGAATGTGATGCTCAGAAATCCAGCCAGGAGACTTCCCAATGATTCATGACCCTTCTTTCAACTTCTTTAGCCTCAAATGTGTCTGGTAACAGGGTTTCAGCCTCCCCTAACAGTAGCTACTGATAGGAATTACATTCCTTATAGCCCTTGAGTGGTGGGACAAGTCAGACTGAGCTGAGACAGCAACACAAGAAGTAGCTGCTTTGGGCAGCAAAATGCACACTGGCCTGCCAATCCTGGGATGTCCAGAGCCCTGGGGCAAGTTCCTCCCTCACCTCTTTGCTGAGGGAAGCTTTCAGGTGGAGGGGCTTGTTGGACATGAAGAACTGCCAGGTGGTCTCTGCACAAGGCTGTGGTCCCAGCTCCTCCGGAGCGTACTGCACCTTACGGATCAGCAGACGAGCAGAGTTCCTGGGAAGCAGCAGAGGACAATGTGGTGGTACCTTGTGCTTGGCAGAGGCAGGAGTTCTGCATTCACACGTGCTTACAGCCAAGAAGTCCCCTGACAAGTGGAGCACAGCTGAACAAGCAACTGAGGGGCATCACTGGAGCACCCACCCCCTTTAAGGGCAAAGCTGAAGACAGACACACACACTGTTACCTCTTATGAACTCTCTCTTCCACATTCTCTGTTGAGAAAGCTTTCACCTCAAAGTCCACCCCACAGGTCTGCCAGAGAGAGAGAGAACAGCTGTGAGATGAGGGTCAGAAGCCAGGAGCATCTGCAGATGCTTCAATATCTTTCTGCACACCAGAAAGTGGCAGCTCCTGCCAGCTGCAAATTCTCCTATGACCGTAAGGGAGATCCCTGCCAGCCCAGGTGGCAGAATTCACCTGTTCCATGGTGCTTCTGGTAAACGAGGCCTAATTCCCAGCCTCCTAAAAGGCTTTCTGGGACAGCAGTGCTGTAGAGGTCACAGCATAAGACTGATGAGTGTGCAAGGCTCTCCAGCCCACCTTGGATTTCTGAACTGAATTTCTGAATTGGCTTTGTAATGCCAATACCTTCTTTCCCAGCATCTGAGAAGTGGGAGTGATCAGGCCCAGCTGACCTTTGCTTTAACAGGTTTATGGTATCATGGGACATCTGTGTGAGTCCCAAATAACTCTCTACAGAGAATTTTTTGCTAGAATATCATTCCCTGACATAAACCACAGTTTATCCTTGTTGCACTGGATTCTGCACCTTGCCTGTTCTGCTGTTCAGAGAACATCCAGTGAATTATAAAAGCGATATTTTAAATGGTATCAGAAACCTTGCAGAACATCTCGTTATTTAATGACTTTTCCTCCAGGGCTTTGGTTTGTTTACACACATGCAAAACCAGCCCTTTTCTGCATTTAATTCAGAGCAGGTCTTAACACGTGTTATTTATAGCAATCTATATTTTAGGCACTCAGCCTCCTTTCCTTTCACGTAGCCTCACAGCTACAACCACTTTATGTGCAACCAAACCACAAATCATGTGGTAATCTGAAGGAAGCTACAGCATTGCACATTTTGTAGTCTTGATGCTATTTGTCTGGATTCCCTTTCTTATTTTGAGGATTTGATGATCTCAGAGGTCCTTTCCAACCTGGCTGATTCTATGACTCTCATTCCAATTCTGTGACATACACTTGTAGCCTTAAATCAGGTTCTTGACACTTGTGGCAGAGCACAGTAAAGTCCAGTGTCACCTTCTCCTACTCTCAAGCTGGACAAATAAATTCACATGACTTTTTTCCATCTGACTTTCCCCAGCCACGATAAGCAGAAGTGTCCCACTGGTCTCACCTTATCGATATCACGAGGTGCAGGCTGCAGACAGACCGAGCAAGGCAGGTAATCTGGAAACTGTGGGAGGAAGAAGAGAAAATACCCCAGAGCAATATTACACAGATATTCCAGGTAACATACTGCTCACAAATTCAGTAGACAATGGGTCACTCACTGTCATGCAGTAACCCTTTGGAATTCTGGCTGGTATACTTGCCTTGTATGAACAAGTCCTTCTCTTCCAAAAATACTTTAACAGTCAAGATAGAGAAAAAAAAAAACAAAAGTAAAAAAAAGTCTAGGCACAACCTGGATCCTCCAGGGAATGCTGAGGCAGACATGTCACTGAGAGTACTGGAAGCATACTCTGTCAGAGTCAGTTTGGCAGTGAACTGCTATTTGTTGACAACATCTGCTAAAGAGCTTTTCACCTACTTATTTGATCCACAAAGGTTTTGAAGCAAAAGGATTTGTTGCTGAGGCAATGGTATGAAGTATTTCAGCCCCTCAGGAATGGGAAGGCATAGGTGTGTGGGGCTGTTGCCAGCACAAAGCCACTGCATATTCCCTTGCCATTTCAAAGAAAGCACTTTTCCCGGTGGAGTGATCACTGTGCAGTTAGGATCACCATGCACTTTACTTCTTAGGATGGCAAGAAGAAAAAACCCCCATTTTTACACTTCCTATCATTCAAAACTGGAATTTGCAGAACGTGAATTCACTATTAATTCCCACCTTCAGTCCATCACTGGGCCTCAACAGCCTGGTAAGAACAGACAAGGAGAGGAGTCAGAGGCTATTCTGAGATACTCACTGTAAAGAAAAAGGGATAAGCATTTTTCCCCAGCTTCTTTAGCAGAGATTCCTGCAACTGAGTAAGAGGCTCTGGCTTGTCAGCAGGAGGGAACACTTGGACCCTGGAGAAGAACAGGTCCCGTCGGAAGGTGAGGCCCATCACGTCGATGTCCTCCTGGCCGTACCGGAAAGCACAGGTGAGGGACACGTACACTGGGGACAAGCACAGGACACGTCAGGCCTGCAGCAGGGTGACAGTGCAGCCAGGGGGGCACAGGGAGTGCTCCTGCACTAGAGACATGGCAACTCATTTCAACACTTCATGACCCCGTGAGTATTCACACCACATGTAACAACTTCCATTGTTTTGAGTAAGAAACCCATTTGCTGGGGAAGAGAGTTACATTTGTACCCTCAGAACAATGAAAAGGGTCTATCTCAGCATCTCACTTCAAAACATTTCTGCAACATACATTGCACAAAACCTCAAACCTTGTTTCCCCTTGGTAAGAGCAGGATCCACCAATACAACACCATCTGAAAGGAAGTTAAAAAATAAAGATTAACAGAGGCTAATCAGGGCTGAAAGAGCAGCAAGGGCAGCACATTTCCTCGTGGACTTACCTACAGGTTCCACGTTCCCAACGTTGTCAATGTAGTCCCGCTTTCCCAGGTAGATTGACAGCTGTGGGGAGGAGATGACCACAGTTGAGCTACAGAATGTTTGTGATGGTGTGTTGAGGGAAGGGACACACACACACACATCAGAGAGCTGTAAATCTTGCAGAGATCAGAACAATTCCATTTTAAATGGAGTAATTATTTTTTTCCAGCAAACAGGTAATCCCCACCAAACTCACCAGCATTATCCACATGCTTCAGGACATCAGAACTGAAGACCTGATCTAGACCAACTCCCAAAAGTACTTGTGCGTGGGACCAAAGATTTTTGATGCCATCAGGTTGGAAAGATGTTTTAAACATCTACCAGCAGGAGTACAACCCAGGAGGGGAGTGAGGTGAGCTGCCTTCCTCTTGTATTATTATAACATGAGGAGTTTGCCCTAAAAAACTCTTTACATCATCTCCTCCAACTTAGTGCTAATTATGGTTCATAGTTCTTCTTCAGGAAAAAATTAAGGGGACAGGAAAGAGCTTTCTGTTTAGTCTCCAGTCTCACTACAGGTGAAACTCATATCTAAATAAACCCATTCTTATGGTACTCACAGCTTTGTCACGGCTGCTTTTCCTGAAGATAACTTGTTTTTGTGGAGAACCAGCATTCTTCCCATCCATCCCTGGCTTTTGAGACTCAGGGCAGCTGGCAGTCAGAGATGGGGATGTGAGTGTGGCTGTTCAAATGAAGGTTTTCTGCCCCAAAATGTTCTGGGAAAGATGCCTGGGGAAAACAGGTGGATGAGATAAAAACAGAGTCATACTTGGTGGGTAAAGCACTGTACTCCTACATTTTGCCATTTCAGAACTCCACACATACCCAAATGTTGGCTATGGCTCAGTCTAGGAGCTACAAGGGTGGTTTGTGTTGACAAGGAGTCAGACTGAACCCAAAATGAGAACACATCTGCCCTACTGCATTTTTCTCAAGGCAATGCAACCCACCACGTGCAGGGTGTCACTGAACTCAAACCAGAATGGACCTTAGGAACAGAACAGTCCAGCTACCTGCCCAGAGAGGTAACAAATATAATCGAGGTAGGGAACAGCCTGCACCCAAGGGAAAACAAGAGATGGAATAAAATTTTTCAGGAGGACAAAAAAAGGGAGAGGGGAAGGGGGGAAAAAAAAAAAAAGAAAAGAGGAAGAAAAAGTGGAAGAGAAAGGGGAGATCACAAGGGTACAAGAGATACCCAGAGTCCAGAAAACCTGAGTGGTACAAAGCAGAGAGATTAGTTTTTCATTTTGTTTTAAGTCATAAAATAGCATCCAGTTAATGATCAGACAGCAAATTCAAAATAAGGTGAAGCTCTTCCCCAGTTAACAGAAGATTCAAGGTGGCTCTGGTAATCACCAATATGAATTGCATCATAGGACTGGACACATTCATAGGGAAAAGGCTTTTGGCAGCTGTTGGACTGGGTGATCCAGGTGCAACCTTAGCCCTGTAAGATGCTGAAGCTGAGGAGCAGCACCAGGAACAGAGGACACTGCCCTGCCCTGTCCTTACACTCCCCTTCATCACACGGAGCGAGGGGGTGCACTGTTAGACATGCCCTTGGCCTGCTGGTGTAGGACTGTCCTCACCGTTTGCTCCCATTCTATTTCCCTGCTTGCTTTCCCATTTTAAAACTGCTTCAGGAGTGAAACAGTTTCTAGGGCCTATTTACAGACAACAAACCATTAAAAAAGGAAATAGTTTGCTCCTTGGAAAGCTGAAAAAAATTTACAGCAGAGATTATAAACAGACTGTACACATTTAAGAATTTCTATTTTTATCAAATAGGTTTCCATTGTATTTGTTGCTGACTAGATGTGCTACTCATGCTGTAGACTCGAATAAACAAACAAGCAAGTAACATCAAATACCTTGCTGCGTTCCCAATGACACAGGAGCTTCCACGGACAACGACGGGCACTCCTAAACTCCTAAGGAAAGATGACTTTTCCAGGCAGTCGTGTCCTGTTCTTCTTTGCATCTACCAGAGGGAATCACTGACCTCTTCACAAAAAAGGAAGACAATTTGTAGGGGATTTGAAAGCTCATCTCTAGTTGCGTCCATCCAGGATTTCAAGAATTAATCCCCCTCCAAGAGCAAATACTGTACTTGGGCTAAGGGTCAGCCAGGAAGTGGTTAAGTCAGCAACATAAGGCATTACCTAAGGACACTCAGACAATCAGTGGAGAGGTCTACAGTGTCCTACTCAAATGCTTTGTAAACACTGCACACTGACATAGCACAGGACGGTTACCAAAAGCAGATTTACCCTAATGCTCCATCTTCTCCCTAAGGTTCCAAGACTTCCAGCCTGGTAAGAAGCTGAACAGACAAAAGCCATTTATGAGAAAAGGAGCTTAGAAAAGACTAAAATGCCATTTTGATGGACCACCAAACATTGAGAACAATGTGTTATTCTCACCCTCACTAAGCAATGTATCCATTATTGTTTCACCAACATCCCACTGGCATGTGATACAAAACACTGCTGCTGGCTAGTACACCCCCTCCTTAATTTACTTGGAGAGGCACAACATATAAGATTTAAGAAACAGGTATTTCAATTAACTTTAGCTTTTCTGTTCATAAATCTTCCAAGAGTAGCTCTACCCCCCACCAGTGAATTTGGCCTTGATATTTCGCTCCACGGTATGTGTAAGTTTTGGCTTGCAAGCTGCAGGAACAGCTGTAGCTTTCCTCTGGCTGCATGTGCTCCTTTGATTCCAGGGATCACATGATATCCTCTCAACTTGCCAGCCCAACAGCCCCCTCCAGCTCAGGCAACCTTGCAGTCACAAGTCAGGCTTGCTTTTCACAACCCATCACTGACATTTGCCTGAATATAGTGGGTGGGTGACACAAATTATTTCCAAAAAATGAACCACAGAATCAGCGTTCCTCAGCTCTTTCAGACTTTTCCAAATTCCAGCAACATTTTATTAACTGGGGGTGGATTATTTGGAGAGCTTAATCACTGCTCTGCCTATTCAACTCTGGCAAACACAAACCACCCAGGCTTAAACCACAGTTTACATGTGCCTGCACTGCAGGACAGCCAGGTCCTGACTGTGGGAAGGAGGGAAGAAACCCAGAAATTACCTCAGAAAAGCAACAACTTCTCTTCAGTCACACTTTGCAAAAGCAAAAGGGAGAGAGCTGGTTTGGTACAAGTTTGTGCTGCAGCCACTGCAGGGTTATTAGTCCTCCAGGGGAGGATGAGCATTCCTGTTGGTCCGTGTGCCATTGCCAACATTCTCAGGGGACCTTGGAAACAGCTCCTCCATAACCCTTTGATCCGGAGAAAGACGACCAGCCCACCCCCAAAACCACCTGAAAGGCAGCTCCACCTTTAGAAATGAAACTGCAACAGCCCCTTCTGCACTGCTTGTCCCTTCCTTGGCTCTTCTTCCCTTTCAGGCTAGCTGGCCATTACCCTTCAGCATTATTAACTTGCTTCATAAGAGCATCAAGGGGCCAAACAAAGCCCTTTGTGCAAGATCTGTGCCCATCCTGTAGAAAAACACAAGTGTAGCAGCCTAAATTATAAACATCCTCACCCCATTCTGATCCCCCTGAGCAGAGCCTGCAGTTTTTAATACGTTAATCTCCCACTAATCTTTCATCATGCTGACTTGCCATTTAGGGATCTGCTTTTCCGCAGTAACCAAGGTCACCAAGACTCGTGGCAAGTGCCTTTCCAAGGGCCGTTTTGCCACTGCAACAGGCAGAAGAAAAAACACCTCACCTGATTTTCTCTGTTCAGTAGTTTATCCAAAACATCCCAGAGTACATCAACCTTTCAAGGACAGAGGCACTTGTTCAATGTGGCAAGACCTCCTTCAGTCTCAAGGCATTATTCTTGGGACAGGGCACACCCAGGCTGCACTTATGGGATGTCCAGATCCAAGCTAAGAGCATTACCCTCTTTTCCCCTCCACACCAAATCCCACAATGTGGCTGAACACAAACCCACACTTCACCAGGAAAATGACATTTCAGGCTCCCCTCTGTGCTCACTGTGAGCGAGATGTCACACACACAGACACACAAAGAAATGAATCAGAGCGCTGTGGGGTTTTAAAAGCAGAACACAGGTTTATTTACAATCAAGTTCTTATGGGCAGCTGAATAAATAAAAACTTTGCCCCATATACTCTAAGTCCCCTCTGCAGAAAGTGTCTCAACAAAAGGCTGGGTTAGAGGGAGCCTGTCAGAGCAGCTGCCCCCAACCCAGCCCCTGCGAAGAACACATTTCCTCGGTAAAACACTATCAGGAAAGAAGAAAATAAAGTGCAAATAAAAAGGCAATAAAACGCTGGTGGCTTGTCTTGAGGCCCAGACGATGTGGAAAGGTTTGGCTGGATAAAGATATGCCAGGTAGCTCCCACCCAGCCACACCACGGGTTGGGGTGCCAGAACAGGGACAGAGCCAAGACACCGCTCCGTAACACAGAGGGCTCCAGCGCAAGTGGGAATATTGCACGTGTGCTCAAGAAGGGGCAAATGGCCTGGAATTGCCAGCACCAAAACAAACAATGGATTTGGGATCTGACCCCACCGCTCCCCTGTGTTCTACTGAGAGCCGCCAGGACAGGACGGATGAACAGGAAAAGGGACCAAACATGTACATTCTGGGACTGAAGTCACAGTGTGACTGCATTCCTCATCACAGCAGCACAACTCCCACGAGTTCAGCAAGCTGAACTTCTCTCTCCTCATGCCCAGTAACCAAACCGCCTGTGGTATAAAAAGATTAAAAATCTTCTATTTTGTGATGCTGAAGGGCATTTCAACACGCGAGTGCAGAAGTCCTGAAGAACAGACCATCACTTCAGGACCAGGTGAAACCGATACAAGGAGTTCACAGGAGAGTGCTGGAGAGCCTGTGCCGGGATCAGAGCAGATCCAAACAGGGCTGGTAAAACTCCAAGGTAGAGTTGCCAGAGCCAAAGGAGACTCTCTTTAAAAGCTGTTCCAACACTTTACACTGCCTAGGACCTGTCCACATTTCAGGATCTTCTCGCCCCACGCCTGAACTTGGCCACGAGAATGGAACACAGGAGACAGGACATGTTTTAAGTCAGCATACACAGTAAATCCTTCCCAAACGTTTCCACCTCAGAAGTGCTGTAGATACATTTGTGTGACAGGATATTTGGCACAGCTGTCTGGTGAGGAATCCTGCTAGTATCTTCTGCCCCACTTGGTGCAGAGATACTGCATGTAAAGGCATGACTAAGTAGCATTCTCCATCCAGACCAGCTAATCCCTCGCCAAGTCCGAGCGCCACAGTGCACTGGCAGCCATAAGAAGTCTGACTCAGGCTCCTTTCTCCATTGCTCTACAACTTCCCTCTGGAAAGCGAAGCCCATGTGCTTGTCAATATCCCGACTCAGGATGGATCTGGGCTCGGGTGTCCCTCCTGTTCAGCCCCAGAGCAGCAGCACCAGAGAGCCGTGCACCTCCGGCAGTCAGAACTCAGCCCACAGCACAGCCTTGTTGCCCTTGTCCACACTGACCACGTGAGCACCCGATGGCGACCACGCCACTGCATTGATGGGAGAACTGCAATGGAAGCCAGGGTAAGTTTACAAGAAAGCTCAATTCCACCACACTGAACACTGGAATGAAACGCTGTAATACTCTGATCATCAGTTAAAAAGCACTTTCTCAGCTCTCAAGACTTGGCCTTTTAATAAGCCTGAGAGAGGTACAGTTTCTTCAAAATATATTGAATGTACTTTATCAGAATCATATCTCAGTTTAAGAAGATAACAAATCTACCCTAATTCAATCTAGAGAATACTGTCATGAATCCACAAGGAATCTGTGTATTAAGAGCTCTCACACCCCAGTATAAGTTGCAAGGCTGTACAACAACAGCTCTTTCATAGCTCAGCAAGACTCACAACCCAGATCCCCACTTTGGATTGCATGTCCCGCCTTCCTCACCTGTGATGCTTTGCAAGTGTCCTCTCCAACTTCCCTGTAAGCACATTCCAAATGTAGAGGGCCCCATCAGCTGAACCAGCAGCCACATAGTTACTGTCAGGGCTATGAGATCAAACAAGGTGCAGAAGGCAAAGAACAAATCAGCAATTTTCAGCACACATCACCATTCCACCCACAACTTCCTAAGCAAGAAACTTGGCATTAACTACTCTTTTCAGAGTTATGTGCTGCCAGCACTAGGAGGTGAAAGCACTTTGAAATCAGAGTGTTTCAAGACATTGGATCAACATCTACAGATAACACTGCCTTGACCAAGAGGAAACGCTTGGCTGCGGAAAGATTTATCAGGTACCTTTATCAGATACCTTGATATCTGACCTTACCTGAACACAACTCTCGTCCAGTCAGAGCCACATTTGAATCCCTGGGCACTGAAAAGGTAGAATCAGATAACTGTTAACTAATTTATAAGAAGAGAGACTTCCAGGTTGTCTCTGAAGATCATGTTAAAGATTTCTGCATGGTTCAAAATAAACTCCAGCATCCCCTTATCTTTGCTGTCAGACTCTAGAGAACTGTGCCACCATGTAGAAAAAGAATTAGGAGCTCCTAATTGGAGGAGGAGGTACAGAAAAACACTCCAGTACTGAGGGCAATCCACAATCCAGGGTTCTGAAATTCCCACTGTTCTTGTGAGGAACACACTCACCTGAATGTCTGCTTGACAGCACTAACCCTCAGGTCGATGATCTTGAGCAGATCATCACGGGAACAGGTCAGAAGCTCTGTTCGCTCCGAGTTCAGGTCAAGAGCTGTGATTCTTCCAAGCAGCTCCAACTCTTTTACTATGCTTTCAGTCCTAAAGACAGCAAGGGAAAAAAAGGGAGGGGAAAAAGACAGCAGTGAACCAGGATCCAGAAGCCAAACCATTGCATCAAAACTTTGACTTGTCCCAGTGTGGAAGAAGAGGAGAAAACGATTACTTGGTTTATTCTTATGTTTTGTTTCCCTCCCAAGCTAGATCCCACCCTGGGGATAGCATTTCCAGATGACAGTTAGATACAACTTTCCTCACAACCCCATCCTAGAACAGCAAATACTGATCAATGCAGAGTATTTACCAGCAAGCAGGCTGCCTTTCCAGAAAAGAAATGGAATCCCCCCCCCAAAAAAATCCAAAATACCAAACAAGTAGTAAAAAAGGTCTCTTTCAATGGCCTTCTGCAACTCCTACAGTCTCACTGGCTTCCCAGCTCAGGTAGAAGAGTTCCCTGGCTCAGACTAACCTGACAGCTATCCTGTAACCATTCCTACACCATAAGCTCTCCTGCAATAGTTTTACCTGATGTCCCAGAAACGGATTTTCTTATCAAAATGTCCACTCATTACACACTGCTCAGTACACACGATGTCATTGCAGCTAGATCCTGCAAACACTGTTTTTATACCTACAAAGGAGAAACCAGTGGTGACACACTTACATTCATACTGTACAAAATGAGGAAAACAGAGACAGAAAACAGTTACTGACCCCCCTGACACACACACTGGCCACAGAGAGCAGTGCCCAAGGAGTGCTATGGGGCAAATTCTGTCTTAGAATAATCCTGACTTAAGTCTTCAACAACCTCTCTGCCCTTCTTAATCTCCTTTGCTGGGGCTAATATTTCTTTAAATGTGCCTGTGACAGCTGCTTCATTTCTACTTCATATTTAGCCAGCTATAATTTGCTGCTGGTAAACAACATGAAATTGTCTCCTTGACCTCTGGTCATGATCCAGGTATCAAGGTAACCTTGAATCTCAACTGGTCTCTCAAGTGCAAGCAAGTTGAAGAGCCATCAGTAGGAAAAAAATCCAAGGAAACAAGGTGTTTCTCCCGAAGAAAAACATTTCCATCCACTTCGGTTAAAAACCCTGACCTGGCTCCAAGTTTTTAGTGGAAGACTGAAGTACCTACCCCCAGACTGGTAAACAAAGAACCCTCCCAAAACACAGCTGCTATCAAATGTCATAGCACTAACAGTGCTTCCTGCACACACAGGATCCCTTATTCCAGGTAACAGGCAGAAGGAACCCAGTTACTTGAATAACAACAGACGATGGCATGGCTGCAAGTTTTTCCTTTCTTTAGGCTAGCAAGGAGATGAAATAATCTATCTGATGCCAGACTCCCATGTCCATTCAGCAGAAGCACATGGATGAAAGCCAGAAGTTGTTCTCCTTACAGACTTTGCTGCGAAGGTCCCAGAGCTTGAGGGTCCGGTCATGGCTCCCCGAAACAATGCGTGCATTGTCCAGCAAGAACTTGGCTGACAGGACTTTCCCGCTGTGACCCGTCAGGGTGTGCTGAGGAAAAGAGATTTACAGGCTGAAACTGCGTATTTCCACTGGCTTCAATCACAACTCGCATATCTGCTGCGTTGTTTGGAGGAAAAAACATCTCCTCCAGTTAAACAGAGGTTAACACTGAGCAGGAGCGGGAAGGATCGCAGAGCCCAGCCTGAAGCTGCGAGACACAGGTCACCTTTGGCTGTAGCTTCTCCTGCTACTCAGGAACCTGCAAGAGCTCCTTTCCTAACACTCCATTCACCTACATTTCATAAACACACGGCAACTGCAGCACAGCCCTGCAGGAGCAACGAGCAGGGGCTAAACTGTGCTGCAAATGGAAGCTGTGCCTTCCTGGTTTCATAGAGAGCCTTCCACAAGGACACAACAGGGCATCGAGCCCCAGCTATTGTTACATCTTCAAGCCTAAAAGCTGAGACAACCAGAGACTTCAGAAAAACTCCCTGCAGCAGCTTCTGCAAGTGCAGGGAGAGGCTCTGTGGGGCTGAGAACATGAACCGCATTCACTCAGAATTGCTCGATATTTACACCCCAAATCATAAAACAGATAATGAATGACTGAAGAGTTATAAAAAACAAGAGAGAAATATTTCTATATCCTTAGATTTGTTTAAATACTCAAAGGACTATCAAACTACACAAAGCAATCTGGGCTTGGGAAACACAAAAGAAAAACCCTTTAAAATGGAATGAGAACAAAGTCTGGAAAAAAACAAACCCCTGATACAAAACACAGAGTCAAAGATCACCTCAAAAAGACCCCTTTGTCTTAAGAAAGGACACAAACTCCAGCAAGGACAATCTAACTTTGCATCTCTCTTTCTGCTCTTGCTGCACAGACATTACAGGCAGATATTTGCATTTAAGCAGCGAGTTTGTGGCACAGTTCACTGTGATTTCAGCTTCACTGCCTCCTGCTCGTGTGCAAGCCAAGACAAATCCATAGCACACACTCTCAAAACAGAGTGCACTATTTTATCTCAGCAAACAGTGAATGCACTCCAAAAAATTACAGGGAGATTACATGAAGCCAGGTGGATGTTTGCAGGCATAACTAACGTTTTGTAGCAAGTAACCTACACTCTGCTAAACTGGTATTCCCTGTAATTCACACTCAACAAAGAGAAGTTGCAAAAGAACTGATATTCTTCACTTTCCTAACTGACACCTCACATCTACACGCTGAGGACTACCCAGTGAATTACCATGTATCTCTCGGTTATACCAACATGTGAAAAATATCAGCAGATTTGGAATATCAAAGTAGCATCTTCCTAAAACAAAACATTGAGGAGAAGTGTACATAGGAAAGTACAATTAAAAACCCCCAAACCCTTGGAAAGCTGAGCCGAAACTTTTCTTTATTTTTTCACCAAAGGTGAAACTTCCTTTAAATTAGAGCCACGTGGGAGAGAAGAATGTGAGTGCAAAGGAGTTGGGAGGAAAGGAGGAACCTTTCAAAAGACATTGAGAATAAAGTCTGGCAGGTACAGGCTTGCTGCCTCGGACAGCTAAGCAAAGGGCTCCTTTTCAAGACTACTAAAAGTGTCTGTAAATGCCCAACTTCCAAAATTATCCCGTCCCCACTAGACAGAACTGGGAATACGAGACCCTCATGAGACTCACCCGCAATCGATTGTCATCAACTGTCCAGATTCTGCTGGCAAAGTCATTTGAAGCTGCTAAGAGGTAAGAACCCTGTGAACACAAGTTTCATTTAAAACTCCTTCCGCTAGTCAAGATTCAAATTAAACTCAAATATTTCCAATAAATCATTAAAACCATGTCAGGGCTATTTTGCCACAGGAAAAAAAGAATAAACCCAAAACCACAGTGGCATGCGCCAGTGTATTCCTTCCAAAAGGGCTATAGCTTCTGCTTCTCACCAAAATGGGAGTGATTTGTAGAACCATGACTATAGATAAAGCAACATATTTATTATAACAATAAGAATTTATAAGAATATACAATTATAACCAGACCAAAAAGGGTATTCTCCTTTCTCTTCCACAGCACTGAGGAAACAGGTTCTACTTTACCCTCATCTGTTGTGGAGATGTAATTTTTCTTTCCTCTTGGATTTTTTCTTTTCACCACAGGGAAAAAGCTGTGCTTAGACAGGCCTCAGAGTGGAATTAGCCTGATTCTTGCAGTTTTCATTACAATTCTAACGTTTTAAGCTACGATTCCAAAAACTAAATCTGTCTGAGGAGAGACAAATTGACTCGTTCCCAGCTTTAGGCTCTCACGAGTCATCCATGATGGAGAATGGGCACCACAGAATTCATGTTTGCACTCCTGTCCACCTCAAAGACTTTCCTGAATCCTTGGAAGTCCATTAACATCTCACCTCAGGTAGGTCTCATCTCAGATGTGTTCAAGCAAAAATCAGAGCTAGTTTCTCTTGCAGATGAACAGCACCAGCACATGTCTAATAAGCTGGTCAGTGCCCACAGGGAGGAAGGATCCTTTTGGGTGTGGATCAGTAAAGTTTGGCACACAGAATCATCCCCAAAGGGCAGAAGTTATGTCAGCTTTGTGTTATGGAAGAGGTCTCAGCACAAAAGTCAGATCACGTGCCCAGTTAGAACAATCCAAGACCCCAAACTCCTTGAAGCAGGACTGTAGGATGCTGATGCCAGCCATGTCCCCGATACTCCAGGGTAACATGACTTGAGCACATCTCAAGCTGTCAGCAAACGCTCTGCCAGCCACAACATGACTGTGCCGTGACTGGTGAGAAACTGCTGGGAGAACAGGTCATGGAAGTGCAAGTCTTGGGATAATCAGACCTTTTACTATTCATCACAGACCTCGGTAAGGCACTTATGAAAATAAACCACACAGAAACAAAGCCTCAGTGTATCTGCTTTTTTGGTTGTTACACCAGTTTCAGTGGAAAACTGAAGATTACTTTCTTACTTCAGACAAAGCCAAGTGTATTTATTGTAATTTTATCATAATAGCCTATAACAGCCAATGTCTGAGCTGCATATCATCTTCTGAATTGTAGAGCAAAGATGAGAATTACAGACTGCAGCTTACCAAATAACGATCTTTTGTACAATTTTAACTATTTGCAGTTACACTTGGGTTTTCACTCATTTCTTAGGTAACTTTTTAACTAGAATGGAAACTGATAACAGAGAACAACATAATTCCATTAATTTATTCCCAATCACAAACAGCGGATATTGCACAGATACTCACAGCACTATCAAATTCTATGCTTGTAATCCCAGCATTACTACCAGAGAGGGAACCTTTGGGCTCACACCTATCTGCACAGAGAAAGACGAACAAAAACTTCAGCAAAGGATTGGAACAGAAGCTGACACAAAGTGAACCACAATACAATTTCATTTAACCTCCCACCATACCCCAAAGCAAAAAGATTTACCTCCCAAGACTTCCCAGAGCTTCACCCTCCGGTCCATGCCTCCTGTTGCGAGTAACCGGGAGCCAGGGCTGAACTGCACCGCATTCACCTCCCCGTCATGTGCATCCTGCGGGCAGGAACAGAACAGCCACCCAAAATGCCATCAGCACAGGCCCAAACCCCACACAGCAGCCAGCCACAGAACAAAAAGGTTACACAGAACCACAGCAGTGGATCTTTCAGCAGTTTATAGGAGACAGAGCCACAGACAAACTCTGCCACGGCTGGTGGCGTAGAGACAGCAGAAAGGCTGATCCTTATCTGGAGAAAAGAACAAAGGCACGTAAAGAACCACACCACAGCAAGGACTTAGCGGGGTTAATAAACTGCCAAAAGCCTTGCGATGCTTCCTACAATGCAAGCTTTTAAGTTACACCAGAAAAAAAAAAATAAGGTAAGGGAGGGCTGGACAGAAAACAGTAACAGGTGATATTCTGTAGAAGGAAACTAACTTTTTGTTTGTCCATCTGGAGACAGCCAAAGAACATGATCCAAACAGTTCATGCAACCATGGAACACTCAAGTCAGGTTTGAGTTAGGCAAGTCTGCTAGAAAACAGCCTAACAGATTACCTGCATTCCCTTAGTGCCCTGGTGATAATGCTGCCTTTACACTGCTGATGAAGTAGTGCCAGCACAGTGTGACAGCACCTTCTCCAGAGAACTTGGGTTTAAGCTGTGCTTCCTATCTGCTTGTGCAGTGACACCCCTGCTTTCTCACACCTTAATGTCCTGATTTCTTAACCTTTTAAAACCTATGAAAATTTTAAGATTCATTCCTTTTTATTGCCCTGTTAATTTCACCGCTTTAAATTACTTGCCCACGCAGTATTACTATCACATTATCAATTAATCAGCTGCATTCCTTTTTAAGTATTTTCAGTAACTGCTCCTTCAAAACCAGTCTTTCTTGTATTTTTCTGCAACTTGTTGCTTAAACTTGGTCTGCCAGCTCATATTTAGGGGTCATCACACTTCAGATCTGATCTTCCTGAAGGTGCACAAGAGCCACTCACAACAAAGCTGGTCAAAGGCCTTGCAGGAAGCTCTGCCTGAGAAGGATGGCTGAAGTGATTTCTGCCTTGTACTCATCTCTCCAAAGGTGAGCCCAGTCTGCTCCCTGTGTCTGCCACACCTCTGCCACAGAGTCCTTGCATTAATTCCCGGAATGCTGTGCCAGAGCTAGACATTCAAAACACAGGAGCTAGAGCCTAACACCTCCTCTGCTGATGGTCCCTTTTCAAGCTCCAGCTGTCACTTAAGTCATGCCCCTATTCTCCCCTCAGGTAACACTGCTTCCTCCTCCACCCAACGACTTCTGCCAGAGAGGCTGTACCAGGGCAGGCAGGAACACACAAGCAGGCAGGGACACACAAGCCTCCACGCTGCAGTGAGCCACGCTGGGACTCTGGATGGAAAACATTAAGTCATTTCACACGCATGAAAAATCCACATCCAGCTCTGGAGTGCCCGAGAAAGCTCCAGACACCTGTTCAAACAAGCACCTGAATTACAGGACAATTTCCCACAGTACCTTTCATTCAGAAGGCAATGCCCTGCACAGAAATTTAAGTTTTGCCTTGTGAGGCCAAAGAACACGTAAAGGAGGTCTCAGCTTGAAAACCTTTGATCATGCACAGCAAATGAAGACACCCCACCACCATGAGCTCCTCTTAACCAGGTCTGTTGGATTGTATTTGGTGCCACAACTCCTTTCACTGTGGAGAACTGGCCTGAATTAATCCCAAACTGTCAGCAGTCTCTTCCTCCATCACACTCTACTATGGCATGATAGAATAGGGACTGTTGGGAGCCAAGAGGGTAATGGGGTGTAATTCCCCTGTGCCCTCAGAAAACTTCTTTGTCATCATCGACCTCAGTAAGACAGACATCGAGCACACTGGCTCTGGGGAACACCTGGGCTAAGAGTTACAGGAATGAACTAGGCTACCAAACCAAGAACTCCTTCCTGTTTGGCAGCGCTAACAGAAACAGCTCCAGGACATCAGTTCCCACACCGAGAGGATTCACTACCTCCAAAGACAGTAAGAGGAATGGCAGAGCAGAGAATTTGTTCTATACTCACAAAGACACAGATGGCAGTAGTGGGCACTCTCACTTCCTTACTGGCACCTGGATGTGGCTCTACATTATCCTGGGGAGCAGGGAGCGAGGATAAAGAACGCCTCCTGAGACCAAACAAAGTAGAAACATTTTAAAATGAACAAGGAATACTGTTTCTCTTGAGTTCATCCATCTGTACCTGTCACTTAACTACACTGTACAGCAAGTAAAAAAATGGGGGAAGGTACTTTTCACTTTTTTTTATCCCATCTTTCAAAAATTACACTTGCTGTGTAACACTGCGTTCACTTGTGGCTTTAGGCATTTCACAGTTCACCAGATAAGTTACCTGAACTGATTACTGACCTCATTTTGGAGCAGTCCTTACTTTTTTAATAGGAAGAGAAACATGGCAATGACTGCAGCTCCATCATTATGCCTGGGGAGACTCAACACCATTGCAGCACTACATCCCTGGCAGCAAAATGCTCCATTCCCAAGCTTGGGCTGCTCCATTTAAGCAAAGACCATCTACCTAATGCAGAGCTTGGCTTAGAAGGGCTGGCTCCACTCTGGATACCAAGCACAGAACCCAGCTACTTAAATAACTCTATTAAAGGAGCAAAGTGCAGTGGAAAGTAAGAGCAAACCCCACATACTCTATCCACAAAGAGGGGCTCATTACTCTCTTACTGTAGACAGTTTCTAGCCAGAGTTATCAACATCTGAAATCTAATGAGAACAATGCAGCTGGGTTCCACGTCACTTCAGAGGAATACATTCACATGCTGGACTAAGCGCGGAGAATGTTTTCACCTGGCAGCATCAGAAGATTGATGTCCCAAAAGGGGAGACTCAGACAGACTGGAGGGAAAGGTCAGAGGTCAGCACACGGCAAGATGGAAGAAACAGGAAGTTGAGGAGAACAAAAAAGAAAAAAAAAAGAAAGGCAGAAGCTAGAAGAAAGGCTGAAAATACTTGCTCGTATTCCCTGTATCACCAAGATTTTGGTGTACATTGAAACCAATATACAAAACAAGGAGGTGAAAGTGTTCTAACCTACCCAAAGATATTAGTGATAGAGTCCAGAAGGCCTCCAGCTGGCTGGGAGAGTCGCTTACTGAAGGAGGGGAGCACAGGTTTAAACCTTGTGAATAGCTTCTCCACATAAAGATCAATACAAACACATTTCATAGCAACACGTCCCTGGAAGGACTCCCTCCCCTGCAGACCCAGCCCAGAGACAGAGAACACCAAAGGCATCAGTGCAAAAGTAACTGCAACTCAGAACATGGCTTGTGAGTCAAGTTTCTGCAATTTCCCTCAACCTCACCCCGTGAATTGCTGGGTTTAAATATATGAGCATGCAAAGTCTGAAGTTTCAAGCAAATTTATCTGTGAACTCATGTACTACCTCTTACTTTCCACTCACTGCTATTTTAGAGAAAGAAACAGATGCATTTAATCTAGGTGAAGTTTATTTTAGTATTTCTGCTAAACCCAGCTATCTGCAAAATCACATCCATGTCATGTGTAGTAATGAAGGCATAACACAACAGGCACTGTTATACCCATGTTATTAACTATTCTGGTTTTAAACCTTTAAGATTAAACACATTTTTCAGGCACTACTGTAATTTAGTTAAAGCAGCACAGGAAAACCAGCACATCTTAAGCGCGGTAACAGAACACAGGACACGAGTTTCCTACTGCTCTGGTGGAAGTACTAAACTATGTTCCAGCTACAGGCAACTCCAAACCCAAAGTGACATTCCCAACAATGTTCCAACTCTCCAATCCCCCCCGCTCTTGCTCAGTGACATGCTCCACAGCCCCACTGCCCACACACCTGGCCACACGGCTGACGGCTCGCACCGGAGACGTTTCCTCCGCTGTGTCCGAGGCTTCATCTGCCAGCACTTCGATGTCATCATCCCTGCTGGAGTGACAGAGAACATATCATTCCCAACCAGCCGCAGCTTCCCATGGAAACCACCCAACAATGGGCACAACCGACATGGTGACCCCGCTCCAGGGTCCGTCAGTGCCCATGCCCAACCCACCCCAGGGTTATGCAGCTGTCGTATCACACAGGTAGGTTCAGACAACACACACACCTGGCTGTCACTGCCAGAGAGGCCACATGCAACATACAACGTCTGAAAACAAATACAGGCAGCAAATAAACTACAGGTTTTTTCTTTCCAGCTGCCAATTCCTCTTCACTGGTCACAGGGTTGGATTTCCACAGCCGCTATTTCTGTTGACAGACCTCCTTTCCAGATTCTCCTTACTACAAACATTTCAGCACT